TCCAAATTCACGGTCGTACCACGGCCATGGTCGTGACCTTGAAATTTGACAGAATCAATATCCTTCTTGAATTTGCACTACCTAGGCCATGGTAAACCCGTGAATTTGGACAGATTATATTGTTTTTGGGTTTTCATCTGTTTCATTCCTTTCATCTGTTCCTTTCTTTGTTTGGGTTCTGGCTTGCTGAATAATGTATTTGTATTTCAGGTTTATAAAATGGATATGGTACCTAAGATTCTTCCCTCTAGCTATCGTTCAGCCAATTTGACCTGCCTATCCCACATAGGGAGCACGGTAAAGGCTATTAAGAGTAAACTAACCCCTAGGCAATTTAGTATGTTTAGGAAGACCATTTTCGGCCATTTGCTAGACGTAGAGCTCGTACTTAATAAGCCACTTATACATAACCTGTTGCTTAGGAAGTTGGAGAATAGTAGAGCAGACGTAATTACTATGGACGTGCTTGGTAATAGAATATCTTTTGGATTTAGTGAATTTTGTCTGATAACAGGCCTAAAATATAGTAGATGACCGATTCGTAAGGACACTTCTCCTAAGAGGCTTAAGAAGTTGTACTTCGATGACAAAGCTGATATCTTACTAAGTGAGTTTGAGGCGAGGTATATGGTGATGCAGTTCAAGGATGACATTGAAGATATCAATGTTATTATTTGTTGAGCTTGTCTTGTTTGGGAGGGTAAGACATTGAAGTTGGATAATAGCCTCTTAGGAGTCGTGGATGACCTACATGTTTGCTGTAATTATGACTGGGCTGAGATGTCTTTCGAGAAGACTATAAAAAGTTTGAAGCGTGCCCTGACGAAGAAGGGGAGAGGTGGGGGGCTGAGGAAGACATATAGTCTGTACGGTTTCCCTTGGGCATTCCAGGTATTTGCAGTGATTGTTTTAGTTTTAATTTATATTATATCCTGTTCATTTTATGTGATGTTGTCATACGTCGTGTTGATACAGGTTTGGGGATACGAAACAATATCCTGTTTGACCGGTCGGGTTGCGTATCCTATAAAATCGGATGCTGTCCCACGCATACTTAAGTGGAAGTGTGGACATTCACCTGCGTGGGTTGCATGGAGAAGGAGATATTCCAATCCACATCGGTGAGATCATTTACTATTACATATATATGATATTTATTTTCATATAACGTACTCTTACGAGTATGTTTTGTGTACAAGCTAAAGTGGCTATCAGACTTTTCGCAACGGAAGCGGAGGAGAGGTTCATAGAAAGGGAATTTGAGCCACCATCCAATGACAACTTAGGTGATGAGGAACAGGCAAGAGAGCAAGTGCAGTCTGAAATGGAAGGTCGTGACGCGCAGCACGACTCGACCCATGCCGATCCTGATGTCCCGACCATGGATACAGATGTGAGAGGTAAGAGGAAGACGAAGAGTGCCAAGAAGCATCGCTGCAAATGCAAGTCTGGCTTGAGGAGCTTGACTGAGCAGGTGGCGGCCATGGATACCCGACTTGCGAATGTTGAACAAGTAGTCATTTCTATGGACGATCGCGTCACTGGCATGGAAGGTGATTTGAAGAGCATTCGAAAGTTCTTGCGTCGGCTAGTCAAGGTGCGTACTCCATTAATGCTTTCTAGTCCATCTATATGGTATGTGATCTGACATTATGCTTGCATACAGGGAATAGCAGTGGATACTTTCGTTCTTCGAAAGAACAATACTGGACATGGAGATGACACCGCTGATGGAGATTCTGCAGGACCGGTTGGTGGTAGCAAGAGTCCGACAAAGGATAAGGACGAACAGCGTGACGATCGAAATGGGGCCGACCAAGACAACGAAGCAATGGAAGCGGAGCCTACCGACCGAGGAGGTGAAGTTGGAGACATGGGGGAATGCACTGGAGGCTACGGAAGTGTCTCATGACGTTGTTGGGACTTCGAAAGAAAGGGAAATGGTGGAAACGAAACATTTCAAGGTTTCGGTAACAGTCCCACCGACACCCGAGGAAGTACCTTGTGTGGCGCAGCCAGCTATCAAACATCCGCAGGAGGTACCAGTCCCACAGACACCCGAGGTAAGTACGAATTTCAGCGTTCCTTTGTATTTCACTTAGTAACTACAGTTTGACTTAGTGACTATATTGTTTTACAGGACCAAGTCTTCGATGAGTTTTCGGACACCGAATCGGATGAGCTCCTCGACGTCCAGTCACAACCCAAAGAGACCTCATCTGACGTGGCACATGGTCATCAGATGACGTGCGCGTTCTACCACAGCAATTTGATCCCCCTCCACCTCGTTGGGGGGAACGAAAGAGGAAAACACTATGAAAGCTTCGTGGGTCCTTCGAAGTTAAAGTTGGAGGTAAACAAAAGAAGGTCATGGTTTACAATCCCGTCGCCGAGATCTCGAAGGAACAAGACTCCAAATTTCAAAAGTGGTTGGATGATGCCAGTAATCCGCCAGCAACACGGAAGACATGCTATGCACAACGAGACAAGCAATGACTTCGGGATATTCTAACACCAAACAAATGGTGTTCGTGTGAGGTACGACTGCTTTCCATGCTTGAATTTGGGTATATTAATGTTCGTACCTTCATTACGTTGTTATTCGTTTTTACAGGTAGTCGATTCGTTGGTCATGTTCGTGCGAAGAAGCTCGAACTGCGACCAGACTTATGTCGTCGCAAGTTCACCACCAGAGACCAAGTACTTGCGGTAAGCTTTAAAAACCAGAAACCTGAATATATATATTCGCCTTTTAATCAATTGTCGTTCTTGTTACAGAACTTCCTTAGACGTACAGATGGTGGCTATGTCTGCATGCAATCTCATAGCGTCATTGCTTCGAGGGTTGCAACAGACTATGATTGGGAGGGAAGAGCGAAGACTCTACTCAACTACATCGATGGCACTCACTTGGACTACGAGCAACGCTGGATGGATGTCGATGCCGTTTATCTACCGTACAATATTGGTGGAGTGCACTAGGTAATGATATGCATCGACTTCGACTAGGGTGAGGTCATCGTGTGAGACTCCTTTATGTCCTTGACACGACTTCCTAAGTTGGAAGAGGCCCTGAAGCCGATGATAACTATTATCCCGGTACTGATCTGCAGGGCCGAAGTTCATCTAAACAAGCCGAATATACCACTCACACCATGGCGAATCCGTAGAGTCGTATCAGCACCCCAACAGGAAGGCGGCGGTGATTGTGGTATATTTTGTGTTAAATTTTTTGAGTATGATGCGATTGCCTCTAGCTTAGATACCTTAACACAGTCTAGGATGTCATTCTTTAGGCGGCAATTTGCCGTTCAGCTTTGGGCGAACAAATGTATCGTATGAATAGTACATTTGTAAAAGTTAAATACTATTTTTGTATATTTGAACGTTGTTATTCTTTGAATCGTATACAGTTGAATGCATTTTTTAAATATATAAATGCTGTTCATATACTGCATTTGTAATTGTTAAGATAAAAGCAGGCACAGGTGATGACAAACAACTTGAGTAAGAAGTTATTCAAAACAATGCAGGATCCACGGTCGAAATATTCATAATTCACGGACATGGTGTCAATAATTCAAGGCCGTGATGAAGAAATTCGCGGCCGTGTTGGATAGAATTCAAGGTCGTGGTTGAGATACTTCATGGCCTTTTTCGAGAATTCATGGCCGTGGCTTCGAAATTAAAGGCCGTGGTTCATAAATTAAAGGTCGTGGTGTTGGGAATTCATGTACGTGGTTCAAAAATTGAAGGTTGTGGTTTTGAAATTAAAGGTCGTGGTGTTATGAATTCATGGCCGTGGTGTTGAGAATTCATGTACGTGGTTCAGAAATTGAAGGCCGTGGTTTAGAAATTAGAGGCCGTAGTGTTGAGAATTCATGGTTGTGGTTCAGAAATTAAAGGTCGTGGTGTTGAGAATTAATGTACGTGGTTTAGAAATTGAAGGTCGTGGTTTTGAAATTAAAGGTCGTTTATTTGAACCATAACCACGGCCGTGATCGATAAACTCACGGCCGTTAAATTTTCCAGAAAAATAGTACAACATTCGTTATTCGTCATAATGTACGAGCGTATTTCCAACAATTTCAACCGATTTAGTCTGCTGAGTAATGAAAAATATATCAATTGGTTCTGTCGAATAATAGATAAGAGTACAACATTTGCCAAAATAGGTTAATAGTTCAGTTAATGTTTTACATGTCTCAATCTACAGTTCTAAGTGGTTGGCGGCATGTTTTTCTATTATGACCCATGTTGCCACACCGACCACATTTGTGGACTTGGCGGGTCTCCCCAGCAGATGGAATTCGTACAGTTTGACGTCGACCAATGCGTGGAACATATCTCGGCGTCTCTACTATACGGTCGACGAAGTCATCAGGTAATATCCAATCCTCCTCATCGCCGAGAGGGTAAACATGTTTGGCATATGCGTTAATGAGAGTTTGAAGAGTATATGCAGGTGAGCATAGTGTGTACCTGTTCACCTTCCGATAGGTGGCCACTGCAATAGCGTGGGAGCAAGGAAGCTGAAAGTAGTCAAACTCTTTACATCCACAGGTCCTTGCATTTAAATTCACACGCACCCTTTTTAGTCCATCGATAACCTCCAACTCGTGATGGTCAATAGGTGTGATGGAGTGAGTACGAGAGAGGTTCTCTGCAGTACGCATCTTATTCTCACCGTAGTCAGTGAGAATGGTTTCGCGACTGGATACGTATGTTCGCCTCTCGTAAAACCAACGTTGTAAGAGTGCACGAGCATGTTCTAGAAGTGCAGTGACTGGCAGAGAACGTGCATGGACAAGGACTGCATTCATAGACTCCGCAATATTAGATGTCATTTGGTCATACCTCAAACCCGGTTGAAATGCACGAGTCCATTTTTCAAAACCAATTCTTTCCAAGTATCGCTGGACCTCTAAAAATCCTGCTAGTTGGGAGAAATAGTATCTGAACTCTGATTTCTGGCAAGCCTTTGCCGCTAATATGAACATTTCTTGCATGGCATCATCCTTGAACTCATCCTTCAGGTTCGTAGACAAGTGTTGCATGCATATTTCATCGCCGCTTGTGGAAAGACCTGCCTAACAGATTTTGTAATGCACACATGTCGATTAGATACGAATAATAACTCATCGACTTCTCCAATACACGTCTTGACCATGTTCAGAAACCAAGTCCAGGATTGATCACTCTCTTGATCGACAAGTCCAAAGGCAAGAGGATATATTTGATTGTTGCAATCAACAGAAGAAGCAATAAGAATAACACCTTTATATTTACCCTTGAGATGTGCACCATCTATCACCAGCACTGGGCGGATACAACTGGAGAACCCTCTAATACAGCAACCTAGGGCCATGAACGTGTACTTAAAATATTTATCTTCCTCCAGTTCCACTTCAAAAATAGTGCCTTCATTAACAGCCTTCAATGCTTCACCATATTTGCGTAACAAAGTATATGAATTCTTTAGGTGACCCCATAAGCAGATTCAAGGCAACAAGCCCGCCATGCCTTTTCATATCTAATGTTCACCTCATAATTCTTTCGCATGTCGTTAATAATGTCTTTAGGTCTGTACTAACGGCTGACATCCTCTATATTGGACTTCACTAACTGACCAACCACCCAACTTCGAGCTTGCCTGTGGTCATGGTTCAGTACTTCACGTTTGCACTTGTGAACATCATTAAACTTCGAAATGATGAATGAGTCACCACCTTGGATACTTTTTGCACGCAAACCCCATTTGCAACCTTGCTCGGTACATCCAACAGTGAACAATGTCTTCGTCGATTTTTTAACTTTAAATTCGAAATTCAACTTCATAGCTAGCACAGACAGTTTGAAGCGTAGTTCTTCCTTC